ATTCAGCTAAAGAAATAAATGCACCTTTTGCATTCTTCTTGTTCTCCAGCACATACCTCCTACCCGATCCTGAGAAATTTTCTTTCCGATATTTCTGCTTCCCTTTAGCAGCTGCATCAGAGACAAACTCTTTCACCCATTCAATCATTTCTGAGCCTTCCACAAGGATCGTGGCTCTCTTCTGTTCTCTTACTTTCAAACCCATCCTTCCTTTGATCCGTATCTCTTCGAAGAGGAACTCTTTGGCCTCTATCCTCAGAGCTGACCTCCATTTTTACTTTCTCCACGAAACCTCCCTCCACTTTCTCCACGAAGCCTCCCATCCTGAAATTGATAGTTTACACTCTCCATACCATTATCACCCAAAAAACTAATTGGTGGTGGGATGGCTGAAAGAGAGGAAACAAAAGGAAGCTTAAATCTGGACCAACAAAAAAAATTACAAGAGAGACAATCAGGTTTGCTGGTCTACCCTTGGGCCTGGAGCCTCCATCCAAAGTTTCATCTCCCAACTCCCCTTCAAGAAAGAGTCTGTTAAAGTATTAGCTGATCTGGGGGCTCACTTGAACGAGCTACTCAAGGGGGCAGAAGCTTTTGCTTCTCCAAGGTTAAATCTAAGAGGCCAAGGACCTTCCTCAGCTGACAACATTTAGTCTTTCACCACCTTGTAGTTCCCTTCAATCATCAATGCATCCAACCTGAAGAGAAGCCAAACTTCAAACCTTGTAATAGTACAATCAATTTTGCTCTTAACAAGTTGGAGAAATTGCCTTCTCCAATTGGTCTGGAGAAGTTCATGAGAATTGTCCCACCATGACATCTAATAACTCTGCCCCACCCCACCTCAAATGATCTGGGGTTACCCAAGGCACAACCATCAAAGTTAAATTTAATCCCTCCCTTTTCCAGTGCAGACTGGTATTGGATGATATAATGTATATGATGAGCATGGCCTTCTACCACCAGCCAGTCCCAAAAGATGGAATCTATTGATACACTCTTAAATTCATTTATTTCTCTGATAGAAATCTAGTGGACTACTCTTTAAGCTATAAGATCAGTGGTGGTATTTACATCCTGTTTCATGTTGATAACTCTTGCATTGTCTCAATCCAAACACTCCAGAAAACAGCTGCTCTTGTACATCTTCGCATAATTTATCAAATTTTGGTTTTTGGATAAGGAGTATGTTAGATTTGAATAAATCCATGATATCAGAAGGTAATGCCCATGAAGCTCTGAAAGAAGGGAGGAAATGGTTCCATATAGCCATTCTAGGAAAAAGGAAAAAAAAAAAAAGGTTAAGAGGTGAAATTATCGATGAGGTGGGATATCTTAGAATGTTGAGCTATATGGGGCAATTGAGTTTATAGAACTCTGAGGAAGTTTATCACAAAATGACAATAAAGTTCCCCTTGGTGGGTGAAAAACCTTGAGAATCCCAGAAATTAGGCTTAGAAATCAAGTTTGAGAAAACTCTTTCAGGGGAATGTTGGTATGCCTATACTTATAAAAAAAAAAAAAGAATGTTGGTATACCTAAACTAAGGGGACTGTCAGAATCAAACCTTAGTTTCGCCATTGCCTGAAGGGGGAGAGAAATGGAAAGCTTCCTTGGATGACTCTGGAGGGATTTCTAGAATGGATCAATGCCTTCGATATAACAGGAAAGATTATTGGATTTTTAGAGGCTACTAGGTTGGGTGGAGAGAGAGAGAGAGAGAGAGAGAGAGAGAGATTTGCATTGTTCAAAGAATACTCTTAAGTCATCCATACCTACCTAAATTAAGAGAACACAGCTATAGATAGAGTTGCCACTGTAAACCACTCTGGCTCATTAACAACTTATCCTATGCCTTTCAAATTTTAAACATAAGATACTCAACCCCAAAGACACTAGAAAATGACAAAGGTACCCTAGGTTCAACCTCTTATTTTGGGACAAACATGATGGCTATCAGGTGATAAATAATTTAATGTATAATCATCATATAAGACCTATATTGTACAGAGAGTGTTGGGCAATTAAGAAACAGTATCTCCAAGAAATCAGTATGGCAGAAATACAAATGCTTCAATGAGTGGAAAAACTAGAAATGGCAGGGTTAGAAATGAAATCAGATGAAGGTACCTAGGAGAGGCTCCAATAGGTGACAAAAGGAGAAAAAGCAGATTGAAATGGTTTGGTCTCGTGCATTGAAGGCCATCTACAAGACTACAACACCTGTTGGAAAAAAGTGATCTATTGCAAGTTGAAGGGACTAGAAGAGCTGGGAGTGAATTAAAAAGGACTTTGAGTGGAAGTAATAAGAAATGACTTAAGTAGGGTTATGACACTTTGAGGTTCAAAATATCAATACGTCGGTAGGGGCGTATCGGGTGTTTCAATACTTGTTTTTTTACCTTTTTTTATTTTTTTTTCAAAACTGGTTCAATGGAGCCGGTCTAGGACCCCTCCATCCCCTGAACCAGTCAAACTCCCGATACACCCACTGTAGGGGCGTATCGGAAGGGTCCCGGAACAATACGTATCAGTCGATACAGGCTGATACGTAACAATACTTTGAACCTTTGTCACTGAACAGAACAGAATGGCAAAATATGATAAATGTAGCATTCCTATATAATTGGAACAAGGTGTGATTCCATAGTTGATGTCCTCATTATTGTGGTAAATTGAATACTAATACACATGAATTTGGACAAATTGATAAGGTCAGCAGCCCTAGTTGCAGGACCTATGGCCATATAAACTTCTGATGCACCAAAAAAAATCTAATTTCCTGATTCCTTTTGGTGTTTCTGGAACAAATCCCAGATGAAGTCACCTTAAGGCCCCGTTCGTTTGTAACAGTTACCCAGGAAACATTTACCTGGGTAAGTGCACTTACCCATGTTCTTTTGATTTTTACGATTCTCAGGTAAATAATAAAATGACATTTCTACCCATCAAAAGTAACTCTTAGGCCTCGTTCGTTTAGCACTATCAAACTTACCTGGGTAAATTCACTTACCCAAGTAAGTGTTTCCTGTGTAAAATTTACCCAGGAAAGTTTATTTACCCATGTTCTTTTAGTTGAAACTTACCTAGGTAAATTTCACTCCAACTTACCCATGTTCTTTTGTCTCACCAACTTTCCTGGGTAAGAAGCCAATATGTTACACTATTGCTAAAATTACCCTTTTGGCCTAAATGAATGTTTGTGGAGGTTTTGTTTTATAAACCTGTGTAATAGGTCCATGCCATATCAAAAGGAACTCAATCAATCACAAACCAATCACTATTGCCAACCAAGGTTCAAAACATCGATATGCCTGATACACTGGTAGGGGCATATTGGGCATTTGGATATCGTTTTTTTACCTTTTATTTTCCAAAACTGGTTCAGGGGAGCTAGTCTAGGACCCCTCCATCCCCTGAACTGGTCAAACCCCCGATACACCCACTGTAGGGGCGTATTGGAAGGGTCCCGGAACGATACTTCGAACCTTGTTGCCAACATTACCCTTTTTGGGTATTGCTACAGCACCACCAATACCTAGCTCCTCGAGAAGGAAACCAAAGCTGAAAAGAGACCCCTGAAAACTTTGTGAGTAGGGCTAATAGAAAAGATAAGAAAACTTGGAAACCCACAACAAATAGCATGAACTGTGAAACCCAGAAAGGAAAACGGTTGGAAAAAGACTAGAGAAACTCGAGAAATTAATGGAAGGCAGTTAACAACACGGGTATTTTTTTATTAAGGTGGATATTTTCAACTTGGGAAAGTAAACTTACCCACCTTCGAGGTGGGTAAGTTTTTCTCGGGTAAGTGACCTTTAACTTACTTGGGGGAAACTTTATTTTCTGTGGGCCCCATATATTTTTGTAAAAGAACGTGGGAAAGTTGGTCAACTTTCCCACCCCAACTTAACACTAAACGAACGGGGCCTTAAAATGGGTAAAATGGTCCTTATCATATTTTGTAAAACTTTCTCCCCAGTGGAAAAGTTACTTACCCACCTGGGAGATAAGTAAGTTTTACCCAGGAAAGTAAGGATAACCACTATGCGGCCCATTGCTTAATGCAAAAAGAACATACAGAAGTTGCTCAATGAGAAAAAGTTACCCATTGACCAACTTTCCCATGCATACTTAAACAAACGAGACCTAAACTTCTAGTAATAGTTGCATGTAACTTAAGTTTTGTGGAGAGACTTCAACCAATTTGTTTATTCAAATCCCGGTTGACAATATATGACATTAATCAAATGTCCCTAAATGAAATATTAGGTATGTTTAGAGGCAGTTTCTGTTTGTCACCTGGACGAGTGATCGAGATAAGAGCCACCGCAGTTAGGAGTCGAGTGACCCATGGGCCATGGTAAGTTGGATATTGCTACTTAATGTCATCCATATCAGTTTTCCAGAACTAGCAGATAATATATTACGACGCCCTACACCTACTTTAGACGTGCGGTAAGCCATTAAACAAGAAAAAACAATGTCATTCCCGGTGCTCATCCTTTTGTCCGCTTACTGAACATGATGAAATGGATAGTGGTTTCTTAAAGAAAACACTTCATCGTAACCAACCATGATGAAATGTTATAAAAAAAAAAACACTTCATCATCAAAAAAAGAATTGTATTTATTTGAGTAACCAACCAGAATGTTACAATAAAGAAAACCCTTCATCGTAAGCAAAGCCAGAAAAGACAGCCACGGCGATTCCCCACCATAAAATTGGGTCGAATAGAATATGTCTCCGAGATGAAAAACGGCCAAAAAGAAACCCACCCACCCTCTCAACATATTCTACAACCCATCACCAAAAAGATTACAGAAAAGCAAAAAAAATAAAAAATAAAAAGTTGACGCATGAAACCCTAATCTGTTAGTTGTTTTCACCACCACCACCCACCCCCCATCACACACCTCTTATACCACCGTCGGGATAGTGCTGGTACCAACCCTACAGCCCCCTCCTTAGCAGTAAAAAGAAAAAACACTTTAAAAAGTGGGAGAACCTAGGACTCTGACACTACATAGACAAAAAATAACCCCTAAACCTAAAATATTTGGGGGGAAGAAAAGGTAAAGGAAGTGTACGGCACATCTAAAAATTATAATTAGAAAACAAGTCCCACAAATATTAGGACACTAGTCCCACGCACTTGTATATGCACCCCCATATCCGCCAGGGTTAGACCCATATGCACCACCACTGCTGATGTTTCCACCATAATAATCAGTACCACCTCCACCCCTACTGAAAGCAGCAGCAGCATCCCTCCTGAAGTCACGACCACCAAAACGACCACCAGTACGTCGGTTCCTCCCCCCTCCATAAGAAGACCTGGCAGCATAACGAGAGAGCCAAGCAGGAACTTCCTGGTTTGCTTCCTGCATCAATTCAGATAGTGCCCTTGCCAACGAGGAATTGTTCTCATTGAAGAAGGCAGTAGCCAGTCCTGTCTTACCTGCTCGCCCTGTCCTCCCTATCCGATGTACATAGTCATCAATGTCATTCGGGAGATCGAAGTTGACCACATGTGCAACATGGGGTATATCTAAACCACGTGCTGCCACATCTGTTGCCACCAGGATTGGGGTATTGCCACTCTTGAATGACCTCAATGCTTGTTCTCGTTCCTGCAAACACGGTAAGCAAGTATTAATTATGTTAACCAACATACACAAGGCCAAGAAAATCACCACATGCAAGATACAAAGCAAAGAGAGTTAAAACCATACAACCAGTTTAGTAATGTTGAATGAAAAAGGATGTGCCTCCCATTCATATATAGAACGTAAATACCACCCAAAGGAAGACATCCAATTGTAACCTTTTCTCTTAGTGGGGAAGGGAAGCCATGAATATGCACTGGCTATAATCAGTGATGTAAAAGGCCCCTCCTAGGCACACAGGCAAGGTGCATTTCAAGGTATATGTGCCTCACTTGAGCCCAGATGCAGCCCCTTTGTAAAGGTGTGAACCTGGTGCCCATCAACCACGCATGTGCCTTAATTTGCACTGTGGCTGGGCTGGGGGGTCCACACCCCAACCAAGCCCCTCGAGACAAGTCCATGCAATTGCAATGGTCCTAAATTTTTGGCCCGTATATAAAGAGATTGGTGTTTTGAAATTACGGTCCATTATATTTAAGAACTAGGAATTCAAACGTTGTTTGATGAATAATGTCTTGTATTAAGAGGGATATTGAAGAATCTCTCTTTCTCTGACAATGGTCAAAAGCAATATACAATAAAGAATACAAGGCAAAAAGGATGAAGTTCATGATGGAGACGATGTACATCAGACCAAAAAATGGAGTACATTCATGTCATACATGAAATCAGTGCATTGATGACCTGCTTTACGTCCTTTCCCCATTGACCCCTTACCTTTGCATAAATAAATCTTTAGTCGTGCCTATTTACCAGATCCGATGGGTCTTAATTTTAAAAGGTAACGTGAATGAGCAGGTGACCAAGTAATTCTAATACTCAATTAGGAAAGAAGTTTTTTTGTTGAACACCCCAAAAGACCTCAAAAGAATAGCACTTCCCCAACTTCAGAAGAACACCATTGCCCTAAATAAATGTCAACCTTAGATAGACAGAAGGGGGAGGAGAGAGAGAGAGAAATCAGGGAGAGTGCTGAAGTGTTGGGGTGTGAAGTCTTGGGATGGCCTTTGAACTACTTAGGGTTGCCTTTAGGGGGTAATCCCATGAGAGAGAGCTTTTGGAACCCGGTGGTGGAAAGGTTCGAAAAAAGACTGGTGTCATGGAAAAAGAACTACCTCTCTYTTGGTGGGAGAATTACTCTTATTAAGGCCACGCTTGCTAATTTACCTTTCTTTTTCCTGTCGGTGTTTAAAATCCCAGTGAAGGTTGCTAATAGATTGGAGAAGTTAATGAGAGATTTCCTGTGGGAACCGGGAGAGGAAAAGAGGGATCATAGAGTGAGTTGGGAGATAGTTTGTAGGAG